CTGGCGCTTCCGCGGAGGAGAGGCGGTCCGCTCGGGGCCGGGGCGCTCGCGGCCGGGGTGACCGCCCCGGGAGCAAAGACGCTGCCGTCCGCACAGCCGGAGCGCTGGCCTCGCAACCTCCCCTTGCCCCGGCTGCTCTGGTTTGTGGCTTTACTCGCTAAACGTTTCCCAGGCGGTCTCAGGTTCTCCACCGTCCTTGTCCAGTGTGTAACCAAAGACCGACCCTTTTCACTCCGGAAGTTCCAGTGTGGCACATCTTAAATAATTGGCATAGGAGGTAGTAGTGGACTTTAGAAGTCCTGGAACTTTGCCCCATAGGCCTTGTCACCAAACCAGTTTTCATCCGCGGTGACTTTCGCTTTGGAGAAACGGGAACAAAAGTGGACCCAAGATGTAATCGCTAGTAATGTATTTCAGTGCGTGCTTCTACTGTACTGTAGCCAGATGTTGTAAAGATGCATATGGCAAGCCCTGGTGGGTGTGCTGAGTCATGTCTTAGCAAGGGGGTATGATGGGCCCCTGGAGGAGAGTTCCCGAAGACGTTTCTCCGATCGCTCTTGTGGACCCGTGTTTTTCTATTACCGTATAGACAGCAGGTATCTGAAGTGATAAACGTGTTTTATGTGATCTCCTGGGTTCATTGGTGTACTCAGTAATATTCTCCATTTACAGCTACTGAAACAACAAGATTACACTAATAAATGAAGGGGTTTTGAAAATTAGGTATGTGAGTTTGTTATCTCCAGCATGGAACGCAGTAACTAATAAATGTATTCCGTATTTGGGAAAAGGGAGCCATAGCTTATTTCCAATAAATTCATCTATGTAAAATTCCCTACCTTAATTAGACGGGTAGTGAAATTATGTAACTATTTTCTGATAGACCAGAGATTGGTAAAATTTAGACCCCTTACTAATTATGTATGTTGCGAACGCTGCCTAGAATATTGGCAGTCACTCGTGCATCGTGAAATACCCAGTCCTGTGTACTGCTGCTTGTTCTAACTTCAGGTGATGGTGGATCAGAATTATATTTTGATCTGATGTTGTAGCAGGTTTAAGGGAACATGGTGGAAGTAGTGGTGATGCAGTGTTAGCATGCCTCATTTTTTATTCCAACGTGGAGTTTAAACATTTTTAATATCTTCACTGATTGTCAAGGCTCTGTACAGATGAAATTTTAAGTTGTGGAAATGTCACATAGTAACAACTGTTGTTTCCATTGGTGTTGTCCTGCCCTGGAAGGAAACAAAGTAAGTGTTACTATCTTCCTGTTGTATTTTATTACTTTTCTTTATTTTAAAGTACTTGAAAATGTAATTAGTTGTTGATAAACTGTCTTAACCAATTTCTCACTGCTGCGGCATGGTAACAGCTACCCACAGCTTAAAGAAGTGTCTTGCTTCACAGGTACAGTCCCTGGCTGGGGTGCAGCCCCTGGCTGGGGTGCAGCCCCTGGTCATCTGGCTCCAGAGCAGAAACAGCATGGTGGAAGGGCCTGGGCCTAGGAAGCTGCTCGAGTCATGGTGGCTAGGAAGCAGAGAGAAAAGGCAGAGCTGGGGACGTAGACGTGCCCTTGCAGGTCCCGGCCCTGTGACCCACCTTCCAAGCAGATTCCACCTCCTGACGGCACGTCGGCTAGCCCCCCACCCCACGTTCTGATCGCCTTCCAAAGTCCCTGCCTCCTAGTGCACAGGAGGCTTTGGGGGGGCATTCTTTATGTAAACCCTAACATTCACCTTTCAGAATGTTTGAAGGAGGTGTCACTGTCATTGACAAAGACAAAAGTAGAAGAAAAATACTTTTCTCAAACTTTTTAAAATCAAGCTCAGTATGTTATATATCTGATGAATGTTTTTTTTTTTTCCTGAGCCCACATAACATTTTTGCCTCTGATATTGCTAGAAACTTACATTTTTACATTGGGTTATTGATACCTTCAAGTTAGCAATGAATAACTGTGTAGTCTTGAGACTAAAAATAGCTAATGTTTGCTTCTTAACTGTGTCATTTCCTTACACCATGCATACAAATCTTTTCTCTTTCCGCAGTAAAACGAGAACGCCTG